TTTCTGTTATAGTATGTAGAATTTCCTTGGTGTGCTACTTTTCTCCTGTGGCTGAGACATAATACTGGAGACCCCAAAGTTAAAGGGGCCAGGGTTTATTTAGCTCACAATTTGTAGAGGTTTCAGTCCATAAACAACTGGCTGTAAGGTAGGGTAACATGGCAGACAGGCCTTGCAGAGGAGAAACAGTTCATGGTGGCCAGAAGGCAGCAAAAGCAACAAGAGAGACTTTAACAGTGTTCCTCTGCCCTTTTACCTTATTCAGACTACTGGGATTAGGGAGGTGTCAAACCAATCACTACACTCACGCATAGTGGTTAACTAATCACACTTCCTTAACCCCAGCATCATACACTCTAGTTTCAGCCACTTCTGAAAGGAAAGCCCTACGTCATCTGCATGCAGCTTTTGGGGTTACATCTAAACACAAGCCTTAACACTTGGCCTCTGGTTATAGTAACTTGAACTTCCACAGGTATTAAGCGAGAACTGGTTGGAGTGCTTATTATGTCCTCTTCAGAAGGTCAGGAGTGTGGCAGTTGTCAGGGTCCACTGGAGCAGGACTTGAGTGCTGTCAGAGTGTTCTGTCTTCTCTGTCAGTACTGCTCTGTGTGCATTTTGGCTTAGTTCTCTCAGACCAGCTTTCTCTACATGGCAGGACACATGGTTGATGACAGCTCTTGTGCCTTAAGATGCCCAGTTTCCTCACCACCTGATAGAGATCACTCTTTTTGTCTTAATTTCACTCTGAAAAACCTGGGGAAATGACTGTGATCCATTCAGCCTGGATCACACAAATCAGTGTTGGCCAGCCAGGTGGACCAATCATGATTGGTCCAATTGTGGCTGGACAGCAGGCTCTGTCAGAAAACTAGAGTGTCTGTTTAAACTGCCTTGTTCTGTGGGAACTGGGCATGGAGTACAGGTGCTTCCCAGAAAAGCTGATGCAATTTTCAAAATACAAGTTGAACGGATGTTCTTGTGGAAAAAGAGGAAAAGTGCATGTTTATTTCTGTATTTTGAGCCCAATTTGAGGCATAATAGAATAGTTTCATTCGACATCACTATATTGTGCTTAAATTTAATTAGGAGGAGAAATTACAGTAATAACATTTAGGAATCAAGAAATTTCAGCATATTTGAAAATAATAATTTTGGGGTACGTAATATTGAAAAGCACTGATAAGTATATTAGAACACAGAGTCATTTACCAAATGGGTATTAAGTATAAAACATTATGTTAGGTGGTATGAGGGTGATGGATCAGAGACTCTGCTTTCAAGGTGCTCTTACTTTAATAGAGGAAGTTCAAGAATTATTAATCCTGGGTAATGGATACATCTTCAAGTGAAATTAATATGGAAGCTGTCAAGCTCTCAGAGAAATGTTTTGTCAACTCCTGCTGTGTTCAGAAATGAAGATTTGACTGGTATAGCACACTATTTTGGAGAATTAACTTGGAAATTTGAATTAAAACAGAATGGTACCAGAAAGTCACATCTGAATTCCTTTTATTGTTAGCTAGTATATCAACTTTTTCTATGGAAGCAAAGAACTCCAAGATTCAGATCTATCTTTCTTACTCATGGGTCTATTGCGTTGGCTGTCATCACTCTAGGCTGTTGGTTTGATCCAGTCTGCTCCATGGAACGGCGGATAGAAGACATAAGAGAGTGAAGAAAAACACTCAGAGCTTAATAATGTCTTAGCTCAAAACTTTAATTCTTCTGTTTGTGCCCCATTATTCAAAGTAAGTCAGTGTCAAACCGAGAGTTGTGAGCGGAAGTGTACTTCTACCTTCAGGAAAGTCTGGCAAAGGTGGAGAGGGAAGAGAGGGTTTTGAGTTCGTCTGGCACAGCCTGTGTGACTCCACAGAAAATCTGGTTGATTTTACAAGTCATCTAAAAAGTTGTATTTACTTTTGCATCTACCAAGAAAGAGCCTTATTTTTATAATCCAAGACTGACAAATTTGGGATTGGCTGATACTGTGAGTCACTGAAATCTGAAATGGGTTGATCTGTGTTAGATGTATTTAGGTTTGAAATAGGCCAGGGCCAGTTGGACTGTCACTTTAGCAAGACTTGGCTTTCCCTTCCCCTCCCCTCCCTCCACCCCTGCCCTCTCCCTTCCCTTCTCCTCCCTCCCCCTCCCTCTTCCCTTCCCCTCCCCCTTCCTTTTCCCTTCCCCTTCTCTTCCCTTCTCTTCCCTTTTCTCCTTCCTTGTTTGTACTGGAGATTGAATTAAGGGTCTTTGCACTGAGCTGCTTTGCTCTAGCCTGGTTTTGAAACAGCGTCTCACTAAGTTGCTCAGGCTGGGCCGAAACTTTTGATCTTCCTTCCTCAGCCTCCCTACGTGTTGGGATAATAGGTGCGTGCCACTATTCCTGATTAGAATGACTTTCTTAAAGGTCACTCTGCAACTTGTAGACATGTCATTGAAGAAAATCCAATGAGTTAAATGATCCAGTCTTATTAAAGGGACATGTAATCCCAGTCATTTGTGCTATTGAATAAATATTGTATGGCCACACTGGAAATTCATTGTGAGTAACAAATTTTGCTTTACACTTTGATCTTAGCCAAAAGGCTGAGAAGTGATACA